TGCTTTAGCAGCAAAGAAAAGAATAATTGAAAAAGGATTCGCATTAGCATTTTTAGAAGCCCAGGCTGCTACAGGTTTCATCATTGATCCCATAACAGGTCAGAAATATTCTGTCGATGACTCAATCATGAGAGGACTTGCAGATAATGAATTCAAGGGTAGATTACTTGAGGCAGAGAAAGCAGTTTTGGGATATTACTCTTCTGGTACAATAAAATCAGTGTATCAAGCTATTGAAGCTAGAATCTTAGAAAGACAAAAAGGTAAAAATATTCTTGAAACCCAGATTGCAAGTGGGGGAGTTATTGACCCGGTAAGAAGTGTTCGTGTTCCTCCAGAAGTTGCAGTACAGTTAGGCCTCCTAAATAACACTATTTTAAAATTTTTACATGAACCATCTAGTAATGCAAAATGTTTTCCCAATCCAAATAATAGGCAAGCTATGTACTACTATGAGTTGCTGAAAATGTGTGTGTTCGATGTAGATAGTAAATGTGTCCTGCTTCCTGTTGGGGAAAGAAAAATTACTAGTCCATCAGCTGAAAAAGTTCATAAAATTTCTGTAGTAGATATCAAAACTGGAACAGAAATGACTTCACATGAAGCTTATCAAAGGTATTTAATTGATAAAAGTACATACCTTGAACTATTAGAACGGGAATTTCAGTGGAAGGAATCTACATGTTTTGATTCCTATGGAAACTCTTTCCTTTTGCTGACAGATCTTAAAACTGGAATACAGTTTAATATTGAAGAAGTATTAACAGAGGGTACAATTGACAGAACATTAGTCAATAAATATAAGGAAGGACTCATCACAGCTAATGAGTTTGGTGATATTTTGCTGAGCAGTTCACAACCATGTAAAGATTTAAACAGCCCTATTGCAGGATACTGGCTTTCTGACACCAATGAAAGAATTACAGTTCTAAAAGCTTCACGCAAAAACTTGGTGGATAGAATAACTGTCTTAAGGTGTCTGGAAGCTCAAGCCAGCACTGGAGGCATAATTGATCCATTTACTGGGAAAAAATACAGTGTTGCAGAAGCTCTGCAAAGGGAGTTAATTGATGAAGTAAGTGCTAAGCAAATTCGACAGTGTGAGCTAGTCTTTACTGGGATCAGTCATCCTGTAACAAACAAAATTATGTCAGCCATTGAAGCAATGAATGTAAATGTCCTGAACAAAGACACAGGGGTTCGCTGTCTGCAGTATCAGTACCTGACTGGTGGACTGATAGATCCAAAATCTCATTGCAGATTGTCAATGGAAGATGCTATTAAGAATGGCATCATTGATGCTATCACTGCTACAAAAATGAAAGATGACAAGTCATATGTCAAAGCCATTCAGTGCCCCAAAACAAAGAAGAAGTTAACATACAAAGAAGCCTTGGAAAAAGCTATTTTTGATTGCCACACAGGGTTACGATTATTAGAAGCAGCTGAGCCAATTAAGACTGGAATTTCTAGTCTTTATTATACTTCACAATAGAACAATGATTTTGATACTCACTTATGGGCCAAATCCAAAGTCCATTCTGTGAAAAGACTTCCATTGATAATTAGGCCACTTGTGGGGAATTATTAATAGTTGTCTAATGTGACATTGACAACTATTATAGAAGTTAGCTGCCATAAAGGGATAAAGTTCATAATAGGTGTGAAGTGCTGCAGTGCTTATATGATTTCTTTAGGCAAAACTCGCATTGACTTCAAAACAGGAGCTTTGTCTTAGAGGCTGATTCTTACATCATTATCTGTACATAATCAAAGGAAATTACATTGCAGCTAGAGGAATTATGTGTGTGTATGTATGTATGTGTGTATGTATTAGGGCTATCAAGTTATTAAAATGAATCATGATTGATCACATGATTAAAAATTGTGATTAATCATGTGATTAATCTTCCTGTGATTAATCTTGCTATTAAATAGTAATAGAATACCATTTATTTAAATCTTTTTGGATGTTTCCTACATTTTCAAATATATTGATTTCAGTTACAACACAGAATAAAAATGTACAGATCTCACTTTATGTTTATTAAAATATTTGCACTGTAAAAAAAAGGGGGGATTTTTAATTCACCTAAGTACTGTAGTGCAGTCTCTTTATTGTGAAAGTAGAACTTACAGATATGGAATTATATAAAAATAACAGCATTAAAAAAAAACAATTTAAAACTTAGAGCCTACTAGTCTACTTAGTGCTACTTCTTGTTCAGCCAGTTTCTCAGACAAACAAGTTTGTTTACATTTGTAGGAAATTATGCTGTCCGCTTCTTTTTTATATATCATCTGAAAGTAAGAAAAGCCATTACAATCGCACTGTTATTGCTGATGTCACAAGACTTTTTATATGTCATATATGCTAAAAATTCAAATGCCCCTTCATGCTTCAACAGCCATTCCAGAGAACATATATCCAAGCTGCTGATGGGTTCTGGTTGATAACGATCCAAAATTATGTTTCAGCTAGACCAGACTAACATGGCTACATATCTATTACAAAATTATGCAGTGCATGTTGATTTTTATCTTTTGAGTCAGATGCCACCAGCAGAAGATTGATTTTTGTTTTGTTTTGGTGGTTTGGGTTCTGTAGTTTTCACATTAGAGTGTTGCACTTTTAAGGCACCTGAAAAGCATGCTTTGTCCTTCTCAGATTTTGGAATGCATTTCAAATTTTTAAACACTGGGTCAAATGCTGTATCTATCTTTAGAAATCTCACATTGGTACCTTCTTTGCATTTTGTCAAATCTGCGGTGAAAATATTCTTAAAATGCACAACATGTACTAGGTCATCATCTGGGACTGCTGTAACATGAAATATATAGCAGAATGTGGGTAAAAAAGCAGGAGGCACACAATTCTCCTCCATTGAGTTCAGTTACACATCTAATTAATGCATTATTGTTTTAATTGAGCATAATCAATATGGAAGCATGTTGTTTTGAATTGTGGCTGAAGCATGAAGGGGCATATGAATGTTTAAAATATATGGCATGTAATTACCTTGCAGTTCTGCCTACAAAAGTGCCATGCAAATGTCGATTTTCACTTTCAGGTCACACTGTAAATAAGAAGTAGGCAGCATTTTTCCTGTGTAAGTAAACAAAACTTGTTTGTCTTAGTGGTCGGCTTAACAAGAAGTAGGACTGAGTAGACTTGTGTCTAAAGTTTTACATTGTTTTGGTTTTGAGTACAATTATGTCATCAAAACACAATCACTATTAGTAAATTGCACTTTCAAGGTAAAAGAGATTGCACTATAGTTCTTGTATGAAGTGAACTGAAAAATACTATTTTATTTTTATAATGCAGATATTTGTAATAAAATTTTAATATAAAGTGTGTGTTATAATTGCAGTCAATATATTTGAAAATATAGAAAACCACCTAAAACATTTAATACATTTCAGTTGGGATTCTGATGTGATTAAACAATGCGATTAAAACTAAATATAATTGTGATTACTTTTTTAATAGCAATTAATTTTTTTTCAGTTAATCATGTGAGTTAACTGTGATTAATTGACAACCCTAATAACTACACACACATACACACAAGATTACAATCTAACCCTTACTGTATTTAAAAGTAAGAGATTGCTATAATTTAGACATGACTGGAGAATCTTTTTTTGGGGGGGAGTGGCCACACACAAGTAAGTGAGAAGCAAAAAAAAAAAACACCTTTCACTGACATGACCCCTGACTGGGAAAGAGACACATTCCCCTTGCACACCGGAGCTTAGTATGCTGTATGCTCCAGCCCAGCAAGGGAGCATTAGGGAAGCTGGAGGGACAGCGTGGGCTCCCTGATGCTGGGATGGCAAAGCGCCCTGAGCCTCAGGGGCTGGATCCAGGCAAGCCAAGGACCACATCCAGGCCCTGAGCCTTACGTTCCTCATCTCTGATTTAGAACATAATATTACAATATTTTATGAAGCCATGTTGACTGAATTTGGCTTTTCAAACTGCTCTTAATACCCCAATACTTTCTATTACAAAGGTATCAAAATGAGATTTAGGCTCAAACAGAGGCATCCAACAGAGATTTAGGCTCAAATCTTTGGAACACTTATTCACATAAGACTACTCACATGTATAAAGCTCCCATATATTTAGCATTTGTAGAATTAGTTCATATATTTGTAGTCTGGAGTGGCACTGTCTAAAGTTCACTGTTTGATTTTGCACTGATTGAAGAGAAAACTTGGTTCAGTGCCATTTGTTTTTCACATAGCTGCAATACGTATGAACTGAAATGTAATGTTATGAAATGCTTAGTTTTTTTAACCATTTAAAATGTTTCCTTTTTCCATGTGATACGTGAAAACATTTAAACATATTTTTAAGTACTGAAAAGTTTTAAAGTACTACAAAATTCTAGCTAAAAATATATTCTGTTAGACAAATTACAAATTCATAATATATTTATTATAGACAAAATGATAACTCCTCCGTGATTATTTTTCAGTATATGTTGGTTTGAAATCTAATGTATTTCCTTCTAAAAGTAATTTAGTAATCTAACCCAGTGCATTGTGGAAATGTAATACTCAGTGCTGGCTACATGCATATCAGGCTAATGTAAAGGCAGCAAATCAAAGATGCTTTAGCTTTTCTGATTATAAGCGTTGTTTAGATTTTAATTACTTAATAGTGTCCGGAAGGTTAATCTGTTTCTGTAGTGTCTATAAAATAATTTGTGTGTGTATATATGAATATGTATGTACTATAGCCATTTTAAAATGTGTACAAATGTTTTGAAAGAATCACATATATCAGTGTCTCTAGTTATATGGCATATATAGAAAATATATATTTTCCTATAGGTGACCATACTGAATTAGGTTAAATAAATAAAGATAGCAAACTATAGTAGCTTTTGTTGTAATACTGGCATTATGAGACAATAGAGAGCCTGGGTGTTACTATTTAATATCTCAACAGTTTAAATAATATTTTTTACAATGCACATTACCCCCAGAAGTCAATGGAAGCGGAAAAGAAAGAACATGTTGAGAAAGCTGGGGATTTACTGAAATGGGTGTCAGACATCAGCAAGACCCTCAGCAAGGGAGGAGGAGAAAAGGCTGAAAAGGCAGACTTGCCTAAGCAGCAGGTATTCAAAGATTTCTTGAAAGAACATCACTTTCTTTTGTACTCTTTGTCCTGGTTAATATGTAAAAAGGTTTCCATAAATATTTTTACAATACTAGAAAGATTTAATTTCACATTTGATCCCAAGGGAAACATTGTACAATGTTTAAAAATACATTTACAAATATGAAAACAAAGGCACAATGTATTTTGAAAATGTATTGAGAAAAAATATAGGACACCCACTGGGATGTGCAGATCCCAAAATATGACATATTCTGACTGCAGACAGCTGACATATCCAGAGGTAAAGTCACAGCACAAAGCCACTAATATACACAACTCTCACCCTGGGAACTGCAGAACCAGCAGAGGGTATATAGCTTATATAAAAAATCTGTCTTTACACAATGTCTTTACATCCTATTCTGAGTCTGTTTCCTCATCTTGCAAAAGTTACTACATCCCTTGAAACACCCACACTACCTCTAGGAAAGAAGGAATGGGAAGGAGAAAGGGACCAGTTTTCATTGTTTTCTTTTTTCTTAAAAATACAGGTATTTTGAGTTGGAATAGGTGAGGGCAACTCTCATCCATTGAGTGTCAGAGGCAAAAGTAATGTCTCCTTTCCCATGATTCTTCAGTTAAAGGTGACTTTCTACTCTCTCCCTCGAGTGCTATTTTCAGAAAAGATGATACAAAGTGGGTGTGTTGGGACATTTTTGTACCCCACATTGTGCTCTGCAAAGGAGGCTTTGTGGCCAGATTGACTCATTTATTTGCATGTTTTTTCTTGCTTGACAGATAGCAAAGGAAGGACCGATTACAATGTTGGGACACCAGAGAGAGAGACTGAGTAGTTTTTTCAAATTATTCTGATTGTCTTTGAGTGCTCTGCCACTGGGAAGAGGGGCCACATTGAAATGGCCACATAAATAAATGTTTGTATTATGTATAGCAGGTTCTTTTTCAAGTATTGTCCCTATGGGTTCTCCATTTCAAGGTTTGTGCACTCTGGGTCAGAGAATTTTCATCAGCAATGTCTGCAGATCCATTCCTCCACCCTAGATACCTTTGTCCTCTGGTATGAGGACATATAGTGAGAAGCAGAACTGCTGCCACTCCAGATCCTTCTCAATTGCCTGCAGTTTAAGATGAGGGCTGTGGTGCCTTCTGGCTAGCCAAATGGTTTGCTACACTTCTTGATAAAATGTCTGTATTTCCTTAGTATTTTTTCTTTATTTATTTTTATTTAGCACAATTTGCACTTAGAAAGGGGGGCAGGGGGGTTACACTTCCCTTTTCTTTTTTTTTTCTAAAGTGTGCCTTTGCTTTTCTCGACCCTTTTATCCATGGTCCTGAATGTGGGTTATGTCCAAGAACGCAGGTTTGAACTCTGGTACACCTTCTATAGGTCTTTCACCTGAAGCAGCAGACATTCAGGCTGGCTCAGGTAGTCTCCCATCCCCTCCAAATTTTAGATCTGTTCAGGATGTAAAAGCAGATCTTACCATCTTCAACAGTGGCTTGCCCTCCAGTACCATTGTGGTCTCCAGTCCCTCATAAACTCTTTGAGAGTACACAGACACATTTCCAGTCTATCCCGACTCAGTACCATGTGATACCTTCATATCAATAGCTTCTGGTGTCAGTGCATTTATAGGACCCCTTTTGGGCCCTTGGCCCTCCTTGGCCTCTGGAATTGACAACATTTGCCCCATCATCAATGAACTCCTCATCAGATTCTGAAGTGTCTGTACATAATTTTCTCTTTTTAACTTACTTCACTTAGGGTACCCTAGCAGGGGATATATACAACCCTAGCAAGAATAGCAATGGGGTCTTACCCCATTTCCTTATGCCCCACAAAGATGGACTTACTGGAAACTCTAGGCCCCTTATGGTGATTAGTTTTACATGGCACCATCTCATAAAGATGAACAAAATGCTGCACTTGGGTCCTTCCAAACAGTGTAATCATATAGAGGAGCAAGAGCCACCTATGGAAGAAGAAACATCACTTCTCCACAAATCCTCTTTCTCACTATCTTATGCTGAAGATTTCAAGCATAAGATTTTTGGTTTCTGGACCTTATAGTCCAGTCCATTGTCCCATTGGAAGACAAAAAACCCAGCATTCCTTGTTGTGCATCTTTCACACACTTTGTCAGGGCAAAATCTCCCTGCCTATGAATTATGTTCTGCTGGGCTGGGCACTTTCAGTATGGCAGGCCAGCTACTGTATTGACTATGAGAGAAGTTAGACAAAAAGTATGGCATCCCACGCAAAGGATCAAAATACTTCTTTTCTCATCTCACATCCAACTTTCTGCTCATAGAGTCAGCAAACAGAACAGACCATGTCGATTCCATTCTGTGCCTTCTTATAAGATCAAAAAAAGATGGACCTTCTGGAATGGAAAAACATAGTCCTCTGCCACATTGCAGTTCAGAGGAGCCAATTACTAAGCCCTAATAACGAAATACAATTTTCCAAAACATTCCAAATTTTCATCCTTTGTTGAAGACTTGCCCCAGAATAAGAGAGAACGCTTTCAGACTCTCAGAAGGCCAGAACAAATGCCAAGGCATCTCTTCTGCCCTGGCTAGATGCTACCAACACTGCTGCTTGCTCCATGGCTGTGGCAGTAGTTGTGGGCAGACTTTTTTGTCTGAAATCGCCCTGGAGGTACAAAACATGATTTATGGCAACATGATGGAGACACAGAACAGTTGGAACAGCGTGGAATTCATAGATTACTCCATCAAGTTCAGCTTTCTTCTCTTGCCTCCTTCCCTTTGCGGGGACCTCCACTCTCCTTGAGAGTCCCTTGAAGCAAGAGGTACAGTCCATCCTGTAAAGCTTCACCTTACAATTGCCCGGAGAAAGAAAAGCAATAATTTGAAAAGTTAATGTATTTAGTGACCAGATCATGTTCTATCATCTGGAATGGGCTTTTTTCAGGTATCTACTGCAGTTAATGAATATAAAGTTGTTTATGTGAATATAAATTTCCAGTTAAGTCCTTTGTTCGCTGTGTACTACTTCCCTGCTCTCCTAGGTCTGACTTGGGAATATGAACAGCCTCACTTTCATATGAATGTTTTAGGACTTAGATTAGTTTCTTTAATGATCCTTTTAGATCAGAATACACATAACAAACTAACATCAAATATAGAGCTTTGGCACTGTCCTTGTTGTCTAGCTCACAATGCTGTTCATATTGGTACAGCTCAGTATCATATAGCTTAGAACCACAGATGTGTTTGTACAGGACCAATATTAAGTGTTACTAATTTCATAGTCCCAGTTTAGTTTTTAGTATTTAGTTTACAAAGAAAAGCAGTGAGCTTTGTGGATGGGATTTTCAAAAGCATTCATTGTTGGCATATTCTCTGTTCCCATTGAAGTCAACGATAAAAGTCATTGACAGAATAAAACCAACGCTGAGTATGTTAGTAAATCCCAATCCACATTAATAACTACAACTTGGGGTCCTATTGTGACCAGTAATCCTGAGCTTTCATTAGTGATGTTTACAGAGGTGTACTGTCCTGGGGATATTATGCATGTAACAGGCACAGTGCCCCTTAGAGCATTAAGTGAGAACACACAGCATCAGCCACTACTGCTCCTTGTAACAGAAGCAAAATGCAGGACAATGTAGCACTTTAAGCATGCAAGCCCATGCCAGCTCAGATCCACTAGATCAGGGTTTCCCAACCTATAGGTTGGGACCCAAATATGGGTCACCATTACATTTCAAAAGGGTCACCAAGTGTCTCCCCAGGTGGCTCTGCCCCCTTTCCCCCCCCTGTTTTTGAATTGCCTTGGGTAACCAAGTCTTCCCAAATTGTCAAAATGAGTCCCCATCTGAAAAAGGTTGGAAACTGCTGCACTAGATCATATAGAAGGAGTTGGAGCTGTTGTCCTGCCATGCCTATCTTCTTTGCGTTTTCTATAGTTGGAGCCAGTTCTGGATCCCTCTTTGTCACAGCCATAACTTTCAGGACACTGTCTGTGACTTTTAGGTATTTTTTCTTAAGGCATGATCTTTGTTATCCCAGTCAATATCTGCTGAACAAAACTCCATCATGAAAGCTGTATGAAGTTGGCTCTTGGTATGCCAGGTGTAGCTGAATAAGTTTTTAAACAATTAGTTAAATACTATGCTATGTTTTTAAACCAGTGGTCCCCAACCTTTCGTGGCTGCCGGGCGTCTGGGGGCGGGGCCACGCATGCACTGCATGCCAGGGGCGGGGCCACTCACACACCCTGCACCTGGGGCCAGCACCACGTATGTGCTGTGCACCCGGGGCAGGGGCTGCCCACGTGCCCTGCACCCAGGGCCGGCACTGTGCATGTGCTGTGCGCCCGGGGCAGAAGCTACCCACGTGCCTGGGGCCGGCACCACACATGTGTCGTGCGCTGGGGGTGGGGTCAGCCCAGATGTTTCGGTGGGCACACATAAATGCCCCGGCGGGCACCATGGTGCCTGCAAGAACCACATTGGGGACCACTTCTTTAAACAAATGTTGTTATATGAAGAGTGTTAGGCTTCCCCAATAGTTATCCCTGACAAACAGCTTAATGCTAGACAAAAAGATGCGCTATGGATTTCCTCTTTTTAAAATGACAGTATATCTATCATAACAAACAACTAGCCTTACCTGTGCCTTGCCTGCCCAGAAATACCCTAAGTATGGCAGGCTCTTCAATACTGAGACTGAAGATGATAGATTTGTGTATGTTGGCTACTTTTTTTTCCTCTCCTTTCAGAGTTAAACACTGTGAAGAACTGAATTTGGGTTGTATTTTTTTCAGATTTCCTCTGATGAAATAGCCACCAAGAAAGAACAAATATCAGAGGCTTTGCAGACCACACAGTCATTTTTGGCTAAACACAGTGATAAGTATGTTAAATTTTATCACAACAGTTTGTTAATATAACTGTAACTAAATTAGTGGATCATATTATAAGGAACAGACTGATATTCTCATCTTATAGCTACAGAGGATAATATTTTATTTGTTTTTCTTGTTTAATTTAAATAAAATTGCAAAGAGAACTTGATTAAGTGTATACGATATTGTATCAAATTAGCTAGTAGTAGCAGTCCCAAAGTGTTAAAGATGTTAACGTAACTCACTCTCCAGTTATTAAACACTGTTAAACAAAGTTCAAGGCTCACTTGCAATATAGCTGCCAGAAGAACACATGCACAGGGTGTTGTCAGCCTCTCCCAAATCCTGGCAAACTTACACAAGGATCAGGCTGTATAGGGCATTTCTTTTAGCTGCCTTTTTCTGGCAACAGGCTTAGAGTCATGTTTCAAAATATGCAGCCCTGGTGGCTCTGCCAAACTCTTACTAGACAGAAGTCAAAAGGAAAGAGAAGAAATAAAGCGGGGAAGGAAAAGGACTCATGGGGGCTTCGGGATATGGCATAGATGATGTTTCAGGATTTAGCAGAACCCTGCCTGCAACCTGTACTGTCAGGATTTTTCAGGACTGAACATAAGAATGGCCATACTGGGTCAGACCAAAGGTCCATCTAGCCCAGTATCCCGTCACAGTGACCAGTGCCAGGTGCCCCAGAAATAGTGAACAGAACAGGTGATCATCAAGTGATCCCTCTCCTGTCATCCATTTCCAGCCTCTGACGAACAGAAGCTTAGGGACACACACCATTCCTTACCCATCCTGGTGAATAGACATTGATGGACCTAACCTCCATTAATGTATTTAGGTGGGTTTTTTGGGTTTTTTTTTTCTGAAACCTATTAAAGTCCTAGTTGTTACAACTTTCTCTGGTAACGAGTTCCACAGTTTGACTGTGTGCTGCATGAAGGAAAATTTCCTTTTGTTTGTTTTAAACCTGTTACCTATTAATTTCATTTGGTGACCCCTAGTTCTTATGTTATAGGAACAAGTAAATAACTTTTCCGTATTCATTTTCTCCCTACCTGTCATAATTTTATAGACCTCTGTCATATCCCTCCCTTTAGTCTCCTCTTTTCTAAACTGAAAAGTCCCAGTCTTTTTAATTCTACTTTTAGATTGGGATGAAGATGGTCCAAGGTCCCAGGGCACAGTGAGGGAGGTAGTCATGATAATGAAGTCCACTCCTGTAGCCAGTTTTTCTTCCCAGAGTCTCTTTTTGAGGATCACAAAAGAGGTGCAATGGGTTGAAAAACCCATCCTCTCATTATTTTGTCTACCAATTAGACATAATTTCTGACTCACTGGTGTTGGAGTTCCTCACTTTTCTTGTTTACCAACACATGATTTTAATACAGTCCTTGAGTTATATCAGTAGGCATGTTTTTTTAGTCTTTTTGTCTTGATTTTGTACCTTTTCCTATTTCCTATTAACATTTGTTGTTAAAGGTTTTTGTGACATTTCATGAACTTTCTTACAATTTTTCCAGTTGTGCCGACAATTGAGGTAAATTTGTAGGCTGTTTTCACAACAGTACCATGGATTAGGTGGCACAACACATGACAATATATTTATAAAGCACCTTTCATCTGAAGGTTCTCAAAACACTTCACAACATGAACAAACTAGCATATAAATTGTATAGAGAAGGCTTGTTTCACCCAGCTCTGAAATTAGTACATGTAATATACTTTGATTTTAGTAAAGAATTCCCCATGATTCTTTGAATGCTTGCTGCAAAACTGTATTCATGTTGGCTCATCTGGTGAGCTCATCTGGTTGGCTCATCATGATCAGTTATTAGAGGTATGGAAAACTGCCTGATAGACCATAGACAATAGAAATCAGGGAATAATTTACTAAAAGCATCTTTCAGTTAATTTTGCCTCAGCTTCTGATCACAGATTGTCTGAAAGACAATGCAATTAACTTACATATCTTAATTATTCAACTGTATTTGATTCATTTTTTTATACAACTTTCTTATGATATGTCTTAATATTGGCCCAAAACACAGGTCAGATTTTCAAATCTATTAGTAATTCTTACCATATCTGGGTTTTTGGGGGGTTTTTTTGGTAGAATGACAGATGGAGAGAGAAGTGAAATGGAAAAGCAAGTGAAATCCCTACAAGAAGGTTACAACCTGTTATCTAATGAATCTTTGAAACAACTGCAGGAGTCACAGCATTTAGTTGATGAAAAGATGGACGAAAAGGTAATAGCACAGAAAATGTATTATTGTGTTTCTAGCTATATTGTGCATTTGAGATTTACAGCATGGTTGTGAAAAAACATATTAACAGCAAAAGGAGAAACCATTTGATTGTACATATCAATAAGCTGAAACATGAATCAAATGATTGTCGTTTCTATATATGTGTATAATCTATGTAGTCATGTGTGCATATGAACATTGTGTTCATCAAAACTTGTGTGAAGAGTCTTAATACTATGTGCCTTGCATGAAGAAAGAAACAAATCATTCATTTCTTAACTCTTCTCTTTAAAAGCCATCCTCTGATTGCTAGATAAGTTTGTGTGCTGCAAAAATATGACACCATAAAATAACATCTTTGCCGTAAACTCCCCCAGAGCTATCCCACAAGATATATAGAGTTTCAGATTTTCCTTAAATTCTAATTGGATATATGATTGGAACCATATATATTAATTGATTTTGAGGTGCCAGAAGTACATTTAAAAAAAATCAATCAAAATATTATATATGGAATTCTGCCTAAAAGGTATTGCATATATGTGTGCATACACAAGTAGAAGTATGTCTTGTATGATTATTTTAAAATATGTTGCCAACCTGATAACAGGCTTTCCATGCAAACTAGTTTCAGTATGTGGGTTCTGTAATATCTGATTTCATATGTTTGGGTGTTTGTGCAAAAGTGTGGTATGCTGTAAATATGAATAGCATGGTCATTTTGTATCACATACTGTTTTTGAATCTTCTAACCTTTCACAGACGACTTAGAGCATGACAGTTTGCCTTCCAGATATATGTCCTATTTGCTCACTTTATAATAATCTATTCTGTTGCCTTCCACTAACCCTATTTATGTATGCAGAGTGTAGGTTTTCAATTCACAGATGCATGTTGAGTTTAAATCTTTTATTCCATCGTATGCTGTTGAATCACTGACATAGATCACTTACGCATTTGAGCTGCTAACATTCACAGCATTGTCCCAGTCCTGGTAAGTATATGATTTTGTGCTTAATATGTATTCAAAAGAAAAAACTAACTTTAACATGAACAATTATAAAATTTCTTAAAATCATTCTTTATATTCCTTTTCAGGTGGATAAAGTTATTGCTGGTGTCATTGATCAAACAACAGGAGAAGTCTTTTCAATCTTTCAGTCTGTTTTAAAAGGTCTAATTGACTCTGATACTGGCATTAGATTGCTTGAGAATCAGCTGATTTTATGTGGCCTAATTTCACCTCAACTAGGAAAATATTTTGATCTTGAAGAAGCAAAAGGCCACGGTCTTATTGACGAACAAACTCAATTGCAACTACAGGAATTAAATAATGCTAAGAAAATTATTTCAGAGTCATCATTCACAAGTCTTCCAGCTGTAGCTGCTTTAGAACAAGCTGTAATTCCAGAGACTCTTGCCATTAAAATTCTTGAGATTCAGCTTTCCAGAGGGTATGTAGTTATGCCAGCTACGGGGGAGCAATTCACTTTGCACAAAGCTTTCCAGAGAAACCTGATTTCTGCATCTTTATTTTCAAAACTTTTGGAAAGGCAAGACATGTGCAAAGATCTCATAGACCCCAACACTGCAGAAAAAATTTCCCTGGAGGAGATGGTTCAGAGAAGCATAATAAGTGAAGAAACAGGATTAAGACTTCTACCTGTAAGACCACAAGAAAGAGGTAGAATAACACTAAAATGTGGAAGGAAAATAAGTATTTTGAGAGCAGCACACGAAGGTCTGATAGACCGTGAAACCATGTTTCGCTTGCTGGGGGCTCAACTACTAGCTGGGGGGATCATAGAACCTGACTCGGGGCAGAGAATGACTGTGGAGGAAGCCATGAAACAAGAGTTTATTGATCAGAACACTGCATGTGGTATTCTGACTCACCAGATTCAGACTGGTGGGATATTATCTTCAAATTCATCCAAACGCTTAACTGTAGATGAAGCCATACAGTGTAACTTAATCTCATCTAGTAGTGCCCTCTTGGTACTAGAAGCACAAAAAGGCTTCGTTGGCCTCATCTGGCCACATTCTGGTGAAATATTTCCCATATCTACTTCTTTATATCAAGGAATGATAACCAATAAACTGGCAAACAAAATATTAAATGGCAGGCAGAAAATAGCTGCGCTTTATATCCCAGAAACTTGCGAAGTACTAAGTCTGGATAAAGCTGCACAGTTAGGGGTAATAGATGGTAATACTCTATCTGTTTTGAACAATGTAATCTTACCTGACAAAATGCCTAACATGGAGGATTTAGAGTCCTCTTGTAAAAATACTGGAAGATGGTTATCATCTTATGAATTCCAGCCATCTGCATTTCATGACTATAGGCAGGAACAAGAAGTTTCAAGTACAGAAGAGCCCATGCCTCATAATTTAGAACAAACTAAAAAATTATTCATTTCTTATCTGATGATAAATAGTTGTATAGATGCAAACACAGGGCAAAGACTTTTGTTATATGATGGAGACCTGGATGAAGCTGTGAGCATGTTGTTGGAAGGTGAAGTTTCTGCCTCCAGGACTGAGGTGGCAGAAGGAGGATTTAATAACACATGTGTAAACTCAAAAAGAATTGATCTGAAACTACCTGACAATGTCATGTTTAATAACGTCAAAAGCAATATCCTGGGTGAGTACACAGATGTACAGAATACTTTCAGTGACAGCAACTTAAAGCTTCCTGAAGAAGATATTCAGAATTATAAATGTTCAGAGAGAAATGATTTTCACAGTAGAGCAAATTTCTTTAATGCTAATGTTTATGAACAGTCAGAATGTACATTGAATTCTTTGATGCCTACACCTGAAGCAGGTTCTGGAAATATAGTGGGTAGTACTCAAAACCTTGAAAAAGAGAATACATTAAAAAGTTCTCAAGAGAATCCTGAACAAACACAGATGACACAGAGTGAGCAAGTGTATCAGCAAGCAAACTCTGGAGATATAGAAAGGCATCTTCCAAAGTACTCACAAGGAATTCTTACTTCAAGAATACATGAAGACAAAAACAGTATACCTGATGGAAGAGAGAGCCTGGATAGGGAAAGCAAGACTTTTAAAACCTTAGAAAATTCCTTGGATGTAAATGATTTGTCAGTTAAAAATGAAGTCACTGCTCTTCAAGAAAATAATCCAAATTGTGCTCCACACATTTTACAGTTTGATGATAAGAGTATGTTAACTGATCAAGATATGAAAAAATGTGATTTTCAGGGCAGTTTCAATTCATTCGGCCACACAGGTATTGAAAACAGACTTCTAGGAGAACTTTCTGGTAAAGAATTAGAGACTCATGTTGTTTGTAATGAGAATATGCATGGTAAACCACAGTCTGCAGAGAATGAATATGCCATGCCATCCATTGAGGACTGTACCATTATGTCAGATGGAGACAGTACTGACACACATGAGGGGCCATTGCTAGGAGATAGTACCAGCATTCATGGTGGACCACTTTTGGGAAACAATATCAACTTGAATGGTGGTCTACTTCTAGGGGGAAGCAATGGTGTTTATAGCAGGCTACCACTGGGAGTTAAAAGTTATGAATGTGATGATTTGGTGCTGGGAGAAAGTGAGGGTACTCCACAATTTGAAAATAGTTACTGGCAGCATGAAGGTGACAACGATGCCTACGAGACTCCTGAAGTTGATGATGATGATGATGAATCCTACAGCACTCCTCAGGTTGATGATGATGATGATGATGAGGCATATGACACTCCTCAGGTTGATGGGGATGATTCCTATGATTCCCCTCAAATTGGTGATGATTATGATACCTCTCAGCTTGAGGACGATGATACCCCAGAGCCTGACAACACAACTGTAGGTGTCCAAGAAGAAAGAGAGGTGCTAGTGAATATGAAGGAAGAATTAAACGCTTTTCAAGAAGACATGAGTAAATTTGGAGATTGTAACCTGTGCGTTAGTGAACAGATAGATTCCTGTGAGATTATAACTATGGCCTCCTTAAGTGCTGGCATGGTGGAAGCTATATCTGAAGAGACAGAAAGAACAGAGAATGTAATAGAGAAGGCGAAGACACTACCAGTCATGATAGAGAGTGAAGAAAGTGAGGAGAGCAACATTAGTCCCTTGTTAAAGTTGCATGAAGCTGAATTGCAAGGAGACAGATATGAGGAATATGAAATACAAACAAACAGTGACTCTAATGAGGATGAGCATGAAGGAATGCAGGAGGAGGAAGAGGAAAATTATGATTATATGGATTATGATAGTGGTAGTTATGATGATATTGATGATGATGACGATGATGATGAAGTAATGGATGTTTATTACTCACGGTATCAGAATAAAAATGGTATCCAGCTGTTTGTTCCTTCCAAAGAAATGGAAGGTAGTGATGAATGTAATCAGAATATTGATACCTTGGATAGTTATCTTCCTTTAAAACATTTAGTAGGTGATAATATTTTGAAGTTAGATTCCAACCGTCAAAATGGTAACCCATGCTCTGAAAAGTATAGTTTAGAAAAGCATAATGTATCCAATGTTTCTGAAGAAGGAAGTCTTGATCTTACAGAAAAAGCCAAAGAGGAAAGACAACAAGGAATTGAAAGTGCTTTTAAGAATTGCATAGAAAGAAAAGGAATCTTAGAAGACATCACTGAAAATATTTACCCTGAAAACATCATTGGCACTGAATATATGTTACTGAACAGTGAAAAAAGTAACCTCACACAGCATAAGTCTCTAACTTCAGATCTTGACATAAATGATGCCATAGCAACAGACCTTGTAACCATTCAGAAGGGATCTGCATGTGCATCCCCATCTGCTATTGCTAAGCAAGCTGCTGCTGCAAACATTCAGACTCAAAAAGACTTACTCCCTTCAGAAGATCTGTTACCTGCTCACATCATAACTGAGAACGATAGCAATGTATCTGTGCCATGTTCAAATAATGAGCAGAGGCAGAACATACTTACAGAGCAAATATCAAATTATGTAAAGGTAAATTCATCCCAAATGGATAATATAATCAGACACGTGCCTTATGTGAATGACAGTAATAGTCTAGGTTCTCTCTCTGACTTAGTACACCCAGTCACAAATAAAGAACTTGATCAAATAGGAATAGGTATTGAAAATTCTAAACAAAATATAAATATAGTGACTATTAAAAAGGAAAGTCATATCCAGGAATTAAATAAAAGTCCCATCCACATGGAAAGCCTGGGAGAAATATTTGATTCATCTATTAGAATTAGTAGTGAAATTGCTGTTTCAAGTGAAGGAAAAGTAAGTGTTGGACAAGCTTCAAGTAATGCTACATCAGGACAACACAGTGACTTTGATACTGTGAAATCAGATGAATTTATGCAAGAGTTTGACCTTTCTGCTTATTTAAAACAATGTGCAAAAGACATAAAAGCAAAAGATATTTCAGAACTGAATAAGGCTGATTCTTGTTATATTAAGGAAGGGGAAACTGATGAGAATTATATATGGAATGGAAAAGAGTTAGTGATAGCTGACTGTATTTTTGATGGGGGATCAGTGCATCCAAAAGAATTAAACTCTAAAGCTCAATCCTCTCCCCTGACAGCTACAGTAAAAGCCAAGGGAATTAGTATTACCAAAGAAAACAGTGCTTCGGTCTGTCAAGAAACTGATAAAGTTCTTAACGACACTTCAGAAATTGGTATAATGTTCAGTCATGAATTTGCCTTTAAGAAAGCTGACCCTGTAGGATGTATTGAGAATGTCCAGGAGTTTGAGGACAGGTCTGAAACCAGATATTCTGGAAACTATAGAGGTGCAGCAGACTTTTCTTCTATACCTTTGGGTAACACAGGTGACAACTTGGATAATGTTGTGCAGAAGGAATGTGAACGACTGATTTGTTGTAGTGATGCAAAACACATTAGGGAGCATAATACTTTAGCCAACAAAACCACTTCAATTGAAAATGGTGCCAGGAAAGAAAAGACTGTTGAATCATTAACTAAAGAAGTGATGCTTCCCAAAGACTTGCAAGTAGAGGAAGGTATATCACATTCTCCTGACACACTAATTGAAGATTTAAAGAATATTTTAAGAAAGAAGTTGAAAGATGGCCATGTTTTCTGCAAGCAGGAAGGTGAACCTTTAAATTACTCTGACACAAAACTTTTAATGCAAAATTTACTTAAAATGATTAGTTGCACAAATGTGGAGGATAAGACTTCCAGTGAGTCAAATCGCAAACAAACATGTAGTGACATTAGCACTATCCTAGTGGCTACTCCATCATGCATAGATCAAAAGGACTATAATAATCTTCAGTTATCTTGGTCTGATAACAGAAGTCCTGACCTCCTCCTTGATATATTGAAACAAAACCATTGCAACCAAAATACTGAAAATCCATGCAAAACAAGTGAACACCAAAATGAAAGAGGCCAGGAGATAAAAGTTACAGCTCCAAAACTTATTACTTCTCAACTTGAACAGATCTTCCAAATACCACCTGGAGATGAAAGTTCATACACATTAAAGGAATTGATAAGTGATTTAGCAAAAGACTTGTTTTCCAGCTCACGAACTGCTGATATCTCTGCAGATGATGAGTATGTAAGCAAAGCAGAGGAGCTATGTACTCTTTTCTCAACAGAGTTGACAGAATTTGGATCAGAAACTCTCAGAGGGAATCCACTATTTCACAGCACAAGTGTTATTTTGAAAAATGACCAGCAGCCTGAGAAGTCAGACTGTTTGTCCAAAAGCTTTTCTGAGGATGCTCTGAAAATGAAAGAAGTTTCCCCAGGAAATAACCCATCAGGCGTGGTAAGTTACCAGTGGTCACAGTTACACATTTTATGTTAAAGGAGTTGCATGCATCCTTTAAAATATAGATCATTACTGAACAAAAAAAAAACACACCCCCCAAACAACAACCCAAACCCTGATATCAAATGCTCCAGTTATAAATTTAAAACAAATTGTAATGAAAACAAAAATTATGTTTCTCTAATAGCTCAAAGAATATTCTCTGATTGTTAAAACTTATTTTTAGTTGTTCAGTGGAGTACAGCCGAGTTTAAAGTATACAGAGAAACTACGAGAACATTTGATAGTGGTTCATGATATGAAATTCCACTTAGATAATCAGCAGCCCATTAGTAACAACTTGGAAATGCTAAAAGTCCAGCTTGAACAATTAGAGGTAAGTCTATGTCTTTTTCTATGATATACGAAGAAGCGCTTAGTAAATACAGAGCTGGATGCTGTGGAAAGCCCTAATATAAAGAGAACGATCATGTGGTTCAGATTTTAAATACAATTATATAAATAAATTTACTTTTAAATCTGTTTCTCTAAGTAAATTTAATGTATCTCGCTTATATTTTGTTTGCAGTCATTTGAATCAGGGCTGGCTACTTTTGCTGTTGTTCTAAAAAAAGATATGAAGTTAACAGAAGAGTTTTTAAAGTCTTTGCACAAAGATGCTCACAAAGAACAACTTAAAGAGCTAAAAATGACATATGAATATTTACAGAAGGCCTTTTTTGTGGTCTGTGATATTTCTTCAAAGCGTGCAAAACAAATTGTCTTTGCTGTTGACTCTGAAATGGTATGTTTCTATTGATGATTTTTTGTGTGTACTTGCTTCACTTTACCTTAAAGTAATTCATCTAAGCATAAGTATTTTGTTTTGCTTTTATCTTAACATAAATTAATCTATAATATTTTCTTTCATTTAATATCAGATTTGGTTAGTTAGACTATGAGACTGTAAAATATATTTTCCTTTCTAGGCTAAGCTTGCAATAATGCACCAGGAACTTTTAAGTAGACTTCAGAAGTTTTCAGACTGGATCACAAAAAACAGTAAAACTGTAAACAACCTGACCATTAATCCGAGTGACACAGAAAATGTGAAGCAAAATTTACAACTACTCAAGGCAGGTATCATTTATGTTAAATGATAAAATAGTGTAACTATTTATCAGAAAAGATAGCATAATGCTAGCTCTACTTACATCTGTTGTAAGAAATCTGGCCCTATTTGAATGAGTAATACAGGGCTGCAACCAATCCCAATTTGTATAATTACGTCTTGTTCTTAAACTCCAATCTCTTCAGTGAATTTAATGTACATTCCCAAAACACTATGGATGGGTGCTTTAAAGAAACAAAAGTGGGACAAAAATCCCAAACCATGAATTCAGATGCCCCCTAAACACTGACTTCATGTGATATCCACAAGATGAGCATGAAACCTATATATGATATATAAAATGTTCAGTGACTTAACTGGGGTTTGTATAGGGTTGCAGACTGGTCAGTGACTTGAATCAGATTGCATGGGTTTAACTGAGGGCAGAATTGTCCCAGAAAGTGGAGAGGCAGGTAGAGCATCACTCTAGGTTTCAGAGCATGGCAAGAAAGCCCAATGGCAAGAAATATCTTCAGTAATATTCTCCTGTTTCTAGTTCTTGCAGAACAGCTCCCCCTTAGTATCTGTTAAGTGGTGATTCCCAATCAGTTCTCTAATGTGCATAAATTAAAAAAAATAAGACGACTTTGCGCACCATCATTATTTGGAACTTGTTATATAAATAAGACACTCTCAGCCAAGTTGTCTTGTCTTAGAATGCAAGTTTTTAAACCAACTATTTCTTTTTGTTACATTTTTCCTCAAAAACATAGTTGAACATTGAATTAGGGATAATATTATTACTCACTGAAAGATGTTTTATCAGCACTGAACTATTTTTATGGTCAGTTATTTACCCTTGCTTTATTTACAGAACACTTCAAAAGAACTTGGCTGTATGAAGACACAACTGGACTCCATAGCATTTGATGTTCAGTTCTTTATTTCTGAACATGCCCAGGATCTTTCTCCTAATCAGAGCAAACAGCTGTTGAGGCTCCTAAATAGTACCCAAAAGTGTTTTCAGGAAGTACAGGAAACAATCACATCTCAAATGGAAAGTTTAGAGAAACTGTTATGGACAGCACAAGATCTTGGTGATCAGAAGGTTTGCCTTTCTCTGTCGGTGTGTGCTTAGAAGTTTATCAGTATAAATGCAGGAATTGAATACTAGTGTGTAATTATGTCATATCAGAAAGCATTGGCTTCAGGATTAAGTATGTTGTTATATCCTACAAATTTTATTATATTTGCCTTCATTATTCTGCAAAGACCATATCAGTCAAGTTTGATAGGTATTCTGGTCTTTCTGCGTAGTGCCCATACTACTTAGTGCTATTATATTAGGAAATGGATATATGCTTAAGTTTTCAGACATTATCAACACAAAAGTGAAGAGACCAGATCTAGTATTTCCATCAGATTGAAGGAGACGTATATGTGATTGCTTACCATCATGAATAATGTAACCGTTGTGTTAATTAGCCAAATAATTATAGTCAGCATTGACTTATAGAATGCCTCAGTATAACTGCACCTCCCTTCCTCTCAGAGAAGCACAAAAGTAAGCTTCAGAAGTCAGCAATTCACCCACTATAGAAGTGTTAGCAAAACGTTAGAATCCTGAGGCATTCTAAGAAAGTTTGTTGCAAAGGTGCTAAGGGAGAAAAGTATATAAAATGGAAGAATAAGAAGCATAGATGATAATTTGGTAACAACAATGATCTTGCATGTTTTGTTCTTCGATATTGCTTAAAAGGTGCAAGCATTTTCTACTCAGGTAACATGCTATGCATACCAACTCAGCTAACATACCGGTCATAACTAACCTCTGTTTTGGTATCCTTTTTCAGAACTAATAGGGTTTATCACAGATTTCGAGCGATTAAGAGATGTGGATTTTCACTTCTGTTGGTTGGAGGTTTCATTTCTTACACATATGCATGGCCAGACTTCTGCTGGGCAATTCCATCAACACATGATCTCTTTAGACTTACAGCATATGTGAGGTTTATGATCCATAACTTCTATATATTCACCTTGCTCAATCTGTATACCACTGCTATCATGTTTACAGCATACTTTTAAAATGATTGCCTTGCAATGTTGTTGTTTAAAAAGTAGTTTGCATTGGAGCTTGTGAGGATTCATATGCAGAATTTTGTATTTTATTTTTCTACAAATTAGGATGTGGCTGAGCAGCAGCAGGCATGCAAGGAGAAGCTACAGGAAATGTGCGATCTCTTTACACAAATAGAAAATCGGCTCATTGGTCACCAAGAAGCTCTTGTTATTGGAGACAGCAAGGCTGAGTTAAAACAATACCAAACCAAACAAGAGGTGAAGACTTGACTAAAGAGCATCATCCTTACCAATCTTATAATGTATTTTTGGTTAGTTATAGTCCATAAAGAAACCAATCTGAGACTAAATGAAGAAGACCAAGCAGGTTTTTGGTCAACAATAGCAAGCACTAACTGCATAGGGGTCACAGAAACAGGAGCTGACTCAGGAGCTCATACTGACTCTGTCCAGAGAAGGATTATAATAATGTGCTTAGTTCTCTGCAAGGAGAGGTATTGAAAAGTGATATCCAGATTTGTTATATAACATCCTGATATAGCTAATTCACACTGCAGCTTTGCCAACAGCAATGTAGCTTGCCTTTCAGTTTGCCCAGGGGTTTGGAAATCAGCGCAACATCCCTAGAGGCAGAATAACGAAACAGAGAGAAAGGTGAATGCTCCTCCCCCCAAAAAACTATGCCTTGTTGACAGAAGCCAAGGTGCTGAAACTGTGTACGGTACTCCCATCTATACCAAAACCATACCTCACCTTTATAAGTGGAAGCATGGAATGTTTATTCTGATGACATTATTATTGAAACTTTTTTGTAAAAGGATTTCTCTACTCTATATTTTTTTTAAATTTTCCCTCTAGAGATGGTAGCAGGTTGCCTCAGTCCCTTTTTTATAACTTTTCTGTTGTAACCTTGTGACAATATGTACATCTGAAAGTGTTTTGTTTGGTTTGCTATTAGGTCCCACCTGTGGGCCAAAACCTTAATCTTTTAGGGTACATCTACACAGCAACATTATTTTGAAATAACTAATGTTATTTTGAAATAACTTAGTCTGTGTCTACACAGCGGGCAGTATTTTGAAATAATGTCAAAGTACTGTCAAACTGGAGGACTTTTTACTCTGTCACCTGTAACCCTCATTTTATGAGGAGTAAGGGAAGTCGGAGCAAGAGTGCTCTATTTCAAAATAAGTGCTGTGTAGACACGCCCAATTTCAAAATAAGCTATTTTGAAATAAGTTGTAGCTCAATTGATGTAGCTCAATTTATATAGTTTATTTCTAGTTAAGTCCTGCTGTGTAGGCGCATGCTAAGTGAGTGATTTGTGAGAAATGTGAAGTGAAGTACAGGTAAATTACTATTCTTTTGTTGTTTTTTCCACAAGGAGTTACAGAAAGATATGCAGGCAAGTGCACAGGCGTTGGCAGAGATTGTGAAAAACACCGAGATGTTCTTGAAAGAAAATGGAGAAAAGCTGTCACAAGAAGATAGGACTGTTCTTGAGCAGAAACTTAATGAAGCTAAGACAGAATGTTTGCTGCTTAGCCAGAAGGCAGAAGAGTCCAAAAAAGAGCTGGATAAAGCTGTGACAACAGCTATTAAGCAAGAAACAGAAAAGGTTCTTATGCAACAACTCTCCATCTGTATTTGAATTTTTTAAAAGTTTTAGGGACATAGTCTTTCCACTTATTACTGGTTTGTCAATGAGCGATCAAAGTCATATTTTACCTGGGTAACTATCAAAGTAGTTAGTGCATGTTTCTTTTACAAACACAGCAGATTTTCAGTATGTCAATTAACAGACATTTTGAGATTTTAACTACATTTTTCCCTGGTTCAAATGTCCACATTTTCAGAATTCAAACTCTCAACTTTCAATATGTAGGTTGCTGCCATTGAACAACTGGAAGAGAGCAGAAATACAATAGAAAATCTCTTGGACTGGCTGTCAAATGTGGATAAGGCTTCAGATCATGGGGATGAGAAATGGACCCAGGCAATAGAACAGAATGGAACCCATTTTAAAGAACAGGATATAAAACTTTTGGAGGGAGAAGAAGATGAAGTCAATGGTAACCTATTGGAACTTCAGCGACAGACTGAAACCCATGTAGATGGCAGAGTAAAACCCACAGACAGTAACCTGAACCAGCAGTATCAGAAAGTGAAGGTACTATATATGCATGTTACCAGTTATGGAAAATATTCAGCATTTAGGTACTATAACAATAAGTACCTGAATCCTGATGAAGTCAATGACAGCCTTTCCATCAGGCTTTAAAGAAATCAGTAAAGTACATTGATAGATATTCTGTTAATGGAGAAGGCATTAAAAAGCATCAGTGTTTGCCTGTTACCATACACATGCCCAGTTATTTCCTATTGTAGGAATGGGAGAAATTATAGTATTCTCCTTGGCAAATATTGATATCTTTATGATAATCACAGTGCCCTTTATTTTCGCAGGCTGAATTGAATACAGTATAATGTTTATTGTAGATAAATAAAGTATTGTAGGCAGAACCACAGCTTCACAGTCCTTCCTGATCCTTATCAGAGATACATTACAGACAGTCCCCGAGTTACGTGGATCCGACTTATGTCGGATCCCTACATACGAACGGAGCTTTTCTCGCCGCGGAGGATGCAGGCGGTGGGACCAACCCGGCAGCACCCCAGCTGCTCTGGCTACTGGACCAACCCGGCAGCACCCCAGCTGCTCTGCCCCAGGCGTCCCCAAGTCAGCCGCTGTTGAAACTGATTAGCGGCTGATTCCAGGAAGCCCGGGGCAGAGCAGCTCTGCCTCCGGCTACCTGTAGTCAGCCGCTGGTCAGTTTCAACAGCAGCTGAATCTGGACGCCAGTTCCGACTTACATACAAATTCAACTTAAGAACAAACCTACAGTCCCTATCTTGTACGTAACACGGGGACTGCCTGTATTTGATCTCACATGTTTCCCTTTGAACACTGATTACACAGAGCTACTATTATTGGGAGTGTTGAGATTATTCTCACTTTAAAGATGACAGATTCCCAGAGGATAAAACAAAATATTAAGAAGGCTTCAGTAGGAGCTTCAAACTCCACAGCTCAGCAACTTTACGATGTCTGTTCCAGGCAGCATATTTACTTATGACAGCCATCTCTATGTTTAGATACAATTTTAACAACACAAACCCTTTTAGATTTGGAGTTATGGAACTGATGAAGGATCTGCAAAAACTGATTGGAGAAACAATTAGTATTTTGGAATAGCTTCCATGTAAAAGCTTCTTAAAGAAAATGGAAGCATAGTTGGTTTTGTTTGTATCTGTTGATGCTCTATAGAAAACAGTATCAACAGAGGGCTCAAATCTGGTATTTGATAACCGTCTACCACACTTACATGGGAGAAGCACTATACCCATTTTGCAAAATACATACTCATTGTTTCTACAGGAAATGGGGAACTGAGGTGTTTTAAAAGATATAATCTTTTGTTCCCCAGAGTCAAACAAGTTTTACATCAAGTTCTTTTAGTATGTATTATCATTTATTAGTTTTAACTTGGTTAAATCTATTGGTATCTAATGTATGTGGATTTTTTATGAGATAGGATGGCAGTTTTTCTATAAGGAAAGATATAATCATCTTAAGAACTATTTACTAAACTTCAAAAATGGAAATAGAAAAATTAGCAATAACTCAAAATAAATAGGAAATATCTATTCTGCCTTGGATATATCTGGCCCATAGAACCAATAGCTATTGTGTATGCAACAAGTACAGAAATATTTATAGATAACTGCTAATCATGGAGCATGCTATATAATGAATCCTGTCTTTAGTGATCTTCATGGAATGAGGGGAAAAAAGATCCTGGAAAAATTTAAAGTGCCTGTTTCTGATGGGGGCTGCCTGGGTCTGTACAAGTGACTGCACTGAGCTGTGTTGGAAATATAGGGCTGGGTCCTCAGCTGATGTGCACCAATGTTTCTCCAAGTTCCATTGGAGATGTCAAAAGGGCTTTACCTACATATACATTAAGGTCTATTTTATAATTACCACTAGTTATTTCTTCAAGTTTGAAAATGAATGCATGGCATTTTTTAATGATCAACTCAGAATGTTGAAAGGCTTTTTCACATATCTTCTGATTGATTAGACAACCATTTCTGAGTAATCTAATTAAAACACTATTAATTACTTACAGTACTCACAAATTGTTATCTGATCAATCCAAAGAGACTTGGAAAAGCCTTTTAACATTCTGAACTGCTTTGTAATTTTGGACCATATTGTGCTTTCAGTTTCTAAACAGAACTCCTCAGTGATTTCAGTGGCGACTTTTGGTCAAAATATGTGTCGTGATGAAACCCTATATAAAGATGCTAGTCACAAACATTTTAATTTTTTCGTGCAGGCTCAGCATGAGAAAATTATTTCTCAGCAACAGGCTGTTATAATAGCAACTCAGTCTGCCCAAGCATTACTTGAGAAACAAGGCCATTACCTCTCCCCTGAAGAAAAAGAGAAGATGCAAAGGAACATGAAAGAACTGAAAGTCCAGTATGAAACCGCGTTAGCTGAATCAGAACAGAAAATGAAATTAACACACTCTCTGCAGGAGGAACTTGAAAAATTTGATACAGACTATAATGAGTTTGAAAACTGGCTACAGCAGTCAGAACAAGAACTCAAAAACCTAGAGGCTGGTGCTTCTGACCTCTCTGGTATCATGACCAAGCTGAAAAGACAGAAGAGTTTTTCAGAAGATGTTATTTCTCACAAAGGTGACTTACGGTACATTTCAATTTCTGGACAGAGGGTGTTAGATGCTGCTAAATCTTGTGGCAAAAAAGATGGTGTCAAAGTTGACAAAGATGGTATTGATACTTCGTCTACTTACACAGAGGTGCAAAGTAAACTGGACGGTGCTTCAGGGCGTTTCAAATCTCTTTATACTAAGGTATGTTTTATTTCCATCTGAATGAGTAAGGGGAAAGGAGTTAGCTCACCAAATGTTTATGCAACAGATAATTTACCATTAGAACAAATTAGAAAGGCAATGGTAGATTCTTCATCTCTTGAAGTCTTCAGATAGAGATTGGATGCCCTTCTAAGAGATATACTTCAGTCAAACACAAGTGATGGGAGTAACTGGGGGTACGTCTACACTAGCTCCTTAGTTCGAGCTAGGTAGGGTAATGAGGGCAAGTGGAGCTGCAAATGAAGCCCGGGATTTAAATATCCCAGGCTTCATTTGCATGTTCCTGGGCGCCGCCATTTTTGAATCCCCCTTAGTCCGAACTCCGTGCCTGCGGCTACACGCGGCACGGAGCAGGTAGTTCGAATTAAAGATCCTAATTTGAATTACCATTACTCCTAATTCCACGAAAGGATAACTTCCAGGGAGGGGAAAGAATTCTGTCTCTGTGTCCTTTGCTCTGAGGACACCTATTCACCAGGAACGGGACTAAATCACCAACTCATTTCACATCTGATCCATGACGAACCTTCAGATACTAACAAAGGTTTCTCCATTCAGTGTTCAGCATGGATAGAACCATTATAATTTTAACCTTCACGTTTGTAACACAGAGTTGCATTGATCTGTTTAAGAGAGATTTATATGTGTGTCACTGTGCTCAGCTCATTACTCTCATCCCTGTGCTAGATGTTCATAGGCTTAAAACCCGTGCTGCTGTAGTCTTGCATAGTGAAAGGTGCCATCTTTTTGGTAGGATGTTCGTGGCATTAATGGCATACCTACACTACAAACTTAAGTTGACCAATGTAGTAAGTACAGCAGTTTTTCATGGCCACACTACCCCCCTTCGGTCAGTGGTGTTCATCCTCACTGGGAGCGCTTCACCCAAGTTAAGAAGATTGTGTGGGGGTTGAAAGCCTGGGCTCTCATCTCTGTTCAGAGTTCCCTGCTGGGAGCCCGGCTGCTGCCCAGTCTCAGGGCACAGATTTCCCTGGTGGAGCTGAAAGCCCAGAGGGACAGATGGCCTCCTGACAGAGAGCTCTGTGCCTGCAGCCTGGGTGGCTGACCACAGAGAGCAGGTAGTCCAGAGGGCAGTTGCTGGGAACCTTGGTAGCAGCTCAGTGGGGAGCAAGGAGCCTGGGCGGCAATTCAGTGGGGAGCCAGGAGCCCAGGCGGAAGTTCACTAGTGAGTGGGGAACTGGGGGACAGCTGGTCTCTGTTTGGATGGTCTACTAGCTGGTCTGTAGATGTCCAGGGATGAGGGCCCAACTGGGAGTCAGGCCTGAGAATCTCAGCAGAGAGCCTATCAGCCGTCTGTGTCAATTTCATGTCTCAATCAGGGAGTCATGGAATTGACAAAAATGACAGCCAACCCTCAATGCAAGAAACACAATATTTACACAGACACTGCGTGGCCCTAACTATACCAACATAAGCACTATGCCTCTTTCAGAGGTGCAGTTATTATGTTGCTGTAGTAAGACATTTACATCAATAGGAGCAAGGATATATTGTGTATGCTGACACAATTAGGTCAGCATAAGCTGTCTTACATCAACCTAACTGTACAGGGTAGATCGGGCCTAAAACTCATTCTTGCACATAACTTTTGTTCTCCGGGTATATGTTATATATTCTCTAGCACTTTTCAGTGTGGGACACTGAATATCCTTGTTTTTCTAGCTGGTATTCCTTCTCTTAATAAAGGCTTGATTCTATGAATTACCATTGAAATATTTGTGTGTTGAGGTGCTTAGCCCTTACTAAACGTTCCATGGCTTACGGGTTTGCATACAGGCAGTCCCCGGGTTACGTACAAGATAGGGACTGTAGGTTTGTTCTTAAGTTGAATCTGTATGTAAGTCGGAACTGGCATCCAGATTCAGCTGCTGCTGAAACTGATCAGTTTCAACAGCGGCTGAATCTGGACGCCAGTTCTGACTTACATACAGATTCAACTTAAGAACCCCAGGCATCCCCAAGTCAGCTGCTGCTGAAACTGATCAGCGGCTGATTCCAGGAAGCCCGGGGCAGGGGCTTCCTGTAGTGAATCTGTATGTAAGTCGGAACTGGCATCCAGATTCAGCTGCTGCTGAAACTGATCAGTTTCAACAGCGGCTGAATCTGGACGCCAGTTCTGACTTACATACAGATTCAACTTAAGAACCCCAGGCATCCCCAAGTCAGCTGCTGCTGAAACTGATCAGCGGCTGATTCCAGGAAGCCCGGGGCAGGGGCTTCCTGTAGTGGCTTCCTGTAGTTAGCGCTGGTCAGTTTCAGCAGCGGCTGACTTGGGGACGCCTGGGGCAG